GTGTATACGTTTCTCTCTCTCTCCATATGTGTGTGTATATATATATATACATACATATATATATATATATATATTTATATATTCTACTCCTAGGTATCCACTCAAGATAAATGAAAACATATATCCATACAAAACTTGTACGAGAATGTTCATAGCAGTATTGTTCATAATCACCAAAAAAGTAAAAACAACTAAATGTTCATCAGTTGATTAATGAGAAAGCAAAATATGGTATATGCATATAAACGAATATTATTTGGCAATAAAAAGGAATAAAGCAATGATACAAGTTGAATAAATTGTGAAAACATTATGCTAAGTGATAGAAGTCAGACGTAAAAGGCCACATATTGTGTGATTCCACTTACATGAAATTTCTAGAGTATGCAAATCCATAGAAACAGGAAGTAAATTTATAGTTTCCAGGGACTGGGTGGAGGGAGGAATGAGGAGTGACTGCTAATGGGTCTGGGATTTGTGTGTGTGTGTGTGTGTGTGTGTGTGTATGTGTACAAAATTGTTCTAAAATTAGATTGTGGTGATGGCTTAACAACCCTGTGAGTATACTAGGAAACAGTAAATTGCACAGTTTAAATGGGTGGATTGTGTGGTATTTGAATTGTATCTCAATAAAGCTGTTAAGAAAATAGTTATTAAAACATATAACCATATCCCAAGGTGGAGAAGGCATGGAGCATGAGCCACTGATCAGAAAGCAAAATAAAACAGGAAATTGAAGGGAGATCACCGCCCAAATAGGCTATATAGTTCAAGAGAACCCTGGATGGAGGAAGTGGTATGTGGGCAGAGAACAGAGGTGGGATCTAGGACCTCAAGAGATGACTGAGTGCTCCAAAGAATTTGCCTGCTTCAGTTTTGTCAAGGACCAGCTTTGGATGATCTCTGAAAGAAGGTCCCAGAGCCTTGAGGCAGAGAGTCTATGATGTCAGCACCTGACCTTTGTGACATAGGCACTAGATGTCAGGGAGAACTGCCCCTAGGAAATGGGGCTCCTAGCTCCCAAGGGGGGTGGCAATGCCACCCCTTAAACAAAATCCCAGTCTCCCAGAGGCTTTCACCAGCTAGGCCCACTGCTACTGCTGCTGCTGGGTGTGATAAGCCATCTCAGCCTGGGCCAGGCTGAGCCAGAGGACATCAGCATTACGGGCAAGGGGTCAGGGAACCAGAGAGGCAGGAGACCAGGATGCTTGCAGAAGCCCTGATTCAGGCTTCTAACAAAAGCCTGTAACAGAAGACCTCCACCTCCCTGAAAGAGGACTGGCAGCAAGGCTCAGACAGAAATCTGGGTCAGAGTGAATTCAGTGAGGGTAAAGGATGCTGGGGGCAGAGGTGGGTGTATCCACCCTTTAGTGACTGTTTCTCTTTCTCCCAGATCCCCTCATTGCTGAAGTGCCTTGTGAAACACAGTCCAGAGGAACCCTCATTGGTAAGAGTTCCCGGCACCAGAATACCCTCAATTCCTAGTCCCATCTCAGCCCTCTCCCCGCAAAGCTCCTCACCCAACTCCATCCTGCTCTCCCTCCCTATTATTCTCCTCCTCAGCTCAAACTTTCCCTGGAGCATTTTCCAGTTCTTCTGACCCCAAAGGTCACATGCATTTAGGGTCTTGGTGAACCAGCCTGGAACTGGCACATGAAGCAGAGCCAGAAATGGACTGATTCTCCCAATATCTTGGGCTCTGTTTCCTTCTCTACAGGTCCTATAGGCTGTGTCTTCCTCCCTGGCCCATTCAGATAATTGCTGCTGCTCCTCAGCTCCCAAGAGGCAGTTCTGCTTCTCCATCCCTATACATCCCTCATCAATGGCTGACTGCAAAGAAGTGAGGGGCCGAATTTAGATCCAAGCTCCTGCCTGAACACCAGATAGCCTGGTGCTACTGGGCTGGGTGCCTCCTTGGGCTGCCACCAACAGCTGCGCCAACACCAGGCTGGAGCCACAAACTGTGCACAGAAGGCCTTGGTTTCTCAGCTAAGTCTGGCCTCAGAGATACTGGTCCTGACTCTGCCAGACCTCTAATCTCCAGTCCTTTCTGGACTCAAGGCAATGCTGCCTCAAAACAAGGACCAGGTGCTGCTACAGAACACAGTGTCCCCTGGGTGCACCCCTCAGGGCCCCTCAGAACTTGTGGACTCCCATCGCCCCAACCTTCAGCCTCTGCCTCCCCAGAAATCACTCACTCCCTCTTACCCACTTTGCTCCCTTCCCCCACAGTCCTGCTCTCCTGTCTCCCATTTTGATTCTTCTGACTCAAATTCTGACTTTGTCCTACATCCCTACTCTTTCTCTGTCCCAAGTTTTCCCACTTTCTTTCATCAGAATTACCCCTCTCTCTCCCTTCCACGTACCTCCTCTCCCTCCCAACGGCTATACCCCTCTTCTCCTCCTACTCACTCCTCCTCTCCCTCTCAGCCACAGAAGTCCCCTCTCTCCCACTCACGCTGCCAGTCTCCTTCCCACTCTGTAGACCTACCCAGCTCCACTCTCACTTTTCCAAGCCCCAGCCTACCTTCTCCTGGGATCTACTCTAATAGGCAGACATGGCACTGGCATCATCAGTACCAGGACACCAGGTCCCCTGGGGTGGTGGGGGGATGCGTGGCAAGCGAGAGAGACCCTGCAGAGTTCAGGGACCCGGGAGCCCTGGCCAAGGCCCTGGTGTCCCAGTTGGGGCACCGTCGCATTGCACACGACCTGCGGCTACTGCTTTTGCAGCGCCTGTGGCTAGGCAGAATCGGCCAAGCTCCAGTCGTGGAGTATCCTATATGCCTGGTGTGTCTCCGGCCCCGCAGCCCCTCTTGCCCCATCCCCAGGTACAGGACTGGACCCCGGCTGCTTGCCTTCCCCCAACTACTGCACTCTGCACAGGGCCAGGAATCTGGACCACTCCGCCTGAGCATCGGCTTTGGCCTCCGCCTGCCTCGTGGCCAGGCCAGGGCTTTGCACCTGTTGCCAGAAAAAAGGGCAGAGGAAGTAGGGTCTCAGGGCAAGGCCCCTTCAGCCCGTGGGTATCAAACCCAGGCATCTCAGGCCCCGGCAGTGGCTCAGGCCTGGGCAAATTCAGCCCCAGGCATATCCTCCCAGGCTGGGAGCCTCAGGTCTGCAGGCCCTCAACCATCAAACTCCACCCGATGTTCAGAGCCTCCACCTCAGGCACCAAAACAAGCCACGGTCTCCCTGGAACCCAAGCCTTCCTCTGCTCCAAAGAGGCCTGCCTCTTCAGAGCCCATTCTCCAAAAGTTGCCACCTTAGTTCCAGAGCCACGGAGGCTCCCTGGAGCACCTCCGCCAAACCCCACTGTCCCCACCAGGCCCCAGATCTTGGGAAGCCCCCAAGACACCCTGAAGGGCTGGCTGGCTGGAGGTCAGGTGTCTTCTCCAGCCTTGAACCCTGGAAGCCCCTTGTGGAGTCTGCTCTCTCCTGGCTGAAGAGGACCAAGGGCACCCAAGGCCCCATTCAGCCTTCAGTGTATCCAATAAAGCCTGACCCTGAAAAACTTGTGTTTGTGTCCCACTTAGCAGACACAGTGGGTACCCATGTTGCCGGAAAATGGATTCTTGGTTATACGGATTCTTGGTTACGCCTCAGGAAGGAATTCAGGAGTGCACCGAATAAGCAGGCAAGCCAAGCAAGCCAAGCTAAGCAAGTAGGGGATTTATTAAAAGAGAACAGACTCCCAAAATGCAGGAGTGGATATGCCCAGAAGAGCAACTGCACCAAAGAGCAAAGAAGCTTAGGATTTTATTTGAATAAGGACACAAAATATTCAAGATTGAGGGGTGGTGTTCCCAGGGTGGGTCCCTGCTGTCCTTGCTGACCGCTCCTTCCTGTGGAGGTGGGATTCCCTTGTCTTTACTTGGCCCTTGTCGGAACTGTCATGGCAACATAAGAGGTTGAAATTTTTCCCTGCCTATAATGCTAATAGTATAATCTATTACAATTAGCTGTAGCTGCACCTTACCTTAAGAATGATCTCATATCCTCCTTTGTTTCCCCGAACTTCCTCCTTCCCCTTCCCTCCCTGAGGCCCTGTTCTTTCTGCTTACAGTAACACCTTGAGGGGGGCCAGGACCCAACAAGGGGTGGAGGACAGTCAAAGGAAACAGTGCCAGGGACAGCGGATGCCATGTTTCTGAGGAGGGCATGGGACCTACAAGGCCTGAGCACCTGAGATGTGCAGCGGGCTCTGGCAGGCCCTTCACACATTTAATTCAACTGGGTGAGACAGATAATGGCATCCCCAAAGGTGAAGCCACTGGGCCCCTTCCTCTGGGGGAAACTTAACAAACGCATCTAATGAGGCCAGGGGAGCAGCATGTGTATCCTTATAGGAAAGGGCACTCCTAGCCTTCACTTGCAGAGAAACAGGGACCCTCTCATTGCAGATTAGAAACCCAAGGGCCTCCTCAGGTGGGTGGGATGTCAGGCAAAGGTGAGATCTGCCCTGCTGGGAGCCAGGTTGCCTGCCCCTGAGGGTGTCAGCGGGGAGCAGCCTCCACCTCGGAAGCCACTACAATGGCCAACTCCCACCGCTGCCTGCCAACCACCGGTGTTAAGGTAAATAGTGGTTTCCTCAGATGAGGAAGCAGTGGATTCGGAATCTGGAGCCAAGTTTGTTTTAAACTCCGCACAGCCTCCATTGAGAGATTACATTCCCCGTGCGTGACCTTGGACAAATCACTTCCTCTCTGGGGTAAAACGTGAAGGCTGAGCGTTTATGAGTCTGCGCAACACTCCTGAAGGGTAGACGGCCCTAATCCAAGAATTTCTTTATTAAAGGTTCATTAACCTCCGTAACCTTTACTCGTTCCCGCTCCTCCAGAACCCCCGAGGACCTTCCCGCGAAACAGGAGAGCACTCTCTCATCCCGCAAAAAGATGGCAAAATTTAACGTCACAAAGGCGGCGAACAGAATCCCGGCGCTAGTGTTCCGTCACCCTACAGCCCGCAAGTGCTGACGCGTAATGGCGGTTCTGCGCCTGCGCGAGGAGAGCGAACTAGGTGCGCCTGCGCACTGAACGTCGGCGAGCTCCAAGTAGGCGGATTGAGGCAGAGATACGGATCGCTGTGTGTGGTTAGAGTTTTGGCCAACCGGCAGATGTGAGAGGGGTCGGGAGCCCTCCCGGCAACGACCGGACCAAGTTCAACCGCTGCCGGGGCAAGAATCGAAGTCCGGGCACGGCATGTCCCGGCTGCCGCCGTGCGGACAGTGAAGCTCGCGCCTAGCGGGATGGGCCGGCGCCGGGCGCCAGAGCTGTACCGGGCCCCGTTCCCGTTGTACGCGCTTCAGGTCGACCCCAGCACAGGGCTGCTCATCGCTGCGGGCGGAGGAGGCGCCGCCAAGACGGGCATCAAGAATGGCGTGGTGAGAGCGCAGGGCCACTGGGGCCGGTCACTCCACGGGCTGAGGGGGGTTCCGGGAGGGTCACGGGGTCGGGCCGCACCCCAGCTTCGGACCCTGCCCTTCCCCAGTTGAAATTCCCGGCATGCCGGATATCTCGGCGCTAATTTCAGCCGAGAAATTGCTCACCGGGAGATTGAGAGACTCCTAAGGTCAAGTGAAAACTGCTCCGTAGCGCTGCGTTGTCGGGAACGCTTCAACTCGACCACAGAGCAGCTCCGGGGGTCTTATCCTGGCTTTTTCCAGGGAGGCCACAAAGACTTGGCTGTCTGCCCTCTTAACAGCGGCGAGAGTGCTGCATTTGGCCCTTAGGCTAGGTTTCTTCACTCTACTAAGCGTCACCCTATTGCACTGTAAACTGGAGGCAATAACGCCAACCCTGCCAGCTGTCTAGATTTGTGAGGTTCAAAAAAACCAAAAATGGAAAAGAAAAAAAGGTTGGAGAAAGCCTTGTGAACTAGAAAGTGTGGTAAGCAAAGGGGTAGGGCATCGGCTATAGGATGCAAGTTTGCCCTGGCACCCCTGAAGTCGTGCTCATTCTGGTTCCCTCTTCCATAGCACTTTCTGCAGCTAGAGCAGATTAATGGGCGCCTGAGCGCCTCCTTGCTACACTCCCATGACACAGAGACACGGGCCACCATGAACTTAGCGCTGGCTGGTAACATCCTCGCTGCAGGGCAGGATGCCCACTGCCAGCTCCTGCGCTTCCAGACCCAGCAGCAGAAGGGCAAAAACAAGGCAGAGAAGGCAGGTGAGAAGCCCCCTTTCTAGCTTTGGAAAAGGGTTACATGAGCAAGGTGACTCTCATCTTGGTCTCTGAAAAAGGGGGGCTGGAAGTGGGGTTATGGTAGCAGCGGCAAGCTGGATATTCACCAGCCATGTAGAGAGGGACCGGGCATTACTGTAGAAGCCTGGAATGTGGCGGGCTGTTTGTGTTGCAGGTTCCAAGGAGCAGGGACCTCGACAAAGGAAGGGGGCAGCCCCAGCAGAGAAGAAATCTGGAGCTGAAACCCACCAGGACGGAGTAGAGCTCAAAGTAGAGAATTTGCAGGCAGTGCAGACAGACTTCAGCCCTGATCCACTGCAGAAAGTTGTATGCTTCAACCACGATAATACCCTGCTTGCCACTGGAGGGACAGATGGCTACGTTCGTGTCTGGAAGGTGTGGTTTTGGGGGATTAGGAAAGATGAATGTCAGTAGCAGCAAGGCCAGAATTGTGAGAAACTCAACACGGGTTCTGGGAACTTATGAAAGTGAAACCTGCGCCGCGTGGCCATAAGAAGAGAAGAGGGGTGGGAATCAATGCGCTCTTGCTGGGTACCTGGGCTAATTGTGGTGGTTTGGTTGCAGGTACCCAGCCTAGAGAAAGTGCTGGAGTTCAAAGCCCATGAAGGAGAGATTGAGGATCTGGCCTTGGGGCCTGATGGCAAGGTGAGGAGGTGAGAGGGTGGAGAAAGTATGTAATTATGCTGTGTGTTCTGTAAGTGGATCTCCTAACTGTCCATCTTGGAATCTTGATTCCTGACTAGTTGGTAACTGTGGGCTGGGACCTGAAAGCCTGTGTGTGGCAGAAGGATCAGCTGGTGACACAGCTGCACTGGCAAGAGAACGGACCCACCTTTTCTAACACGCCTTACCGCTACCAGGCCTGCAGGTGTGAAGACCCTGGAGGGTGGCTAACAGAGGCTCAGCCTCAATGTGGTGGGAGAGTGGGAAAAAACTTAGGGGAAGTTGGGGAGGATCATAGCTTGGGTGGGTGTTACCTCAGGCCTGACCAGGGTGCAGGAGGGTACAAACTCTTCAGGAGGGTTGTGCAGGCCCCAGGAGCTTAACAGCTTCTCACCTGGCTGCCAGGTTTGGGCAGGTTCCAGACCAGCCTGCTGGGCTGCGACTTTTCACAGTGCAGATTCCCCACAAGCGTCTGCGCCAGCCTCCACCCTGCTACCTCACAGCCTGGGATGGCTCCACCTTCTTGCCCCTTCGGACCAAATCCTGTGGCCATGAAGTCATCTCCTGCCTTAGTGTCAGGTATGAGATGATGCTGGCTTGGCGGGCTGCGAGGGTGGCTGGGGGAGCTTGGGAACGAGTCCTGCCTGCATCCCTGCGGACTGTTATTAGTGAATGAGTGTCACTGCACAGGCCTCCAGGACAATGAGTATTTTATTATCTGTTGCAGTGAATCGGGCACCTTCCTAGGCCTGGGCACGGTCACTGGCTCTGTTGCCATCTACATAGCTTTCTCTCTCCAGGTAATGGGTACAGGTGGGCACAGCCCTGAGGTTTCTTTGGAGTGGGGACTCTAGGCCTGCATTTACCCTGAGTGTGCAGGAAGGAGTCTGGCCTTTCTGTAGAAGGAAAGCCTTCTGGGGGCAGGGGGGATATTTTCCAGAAGAACTGTTCCCAATCGGGCCTTCCCTCACTAGTTCTCCTTCTGTCCCCAGCGCCTCTACTATGTGAGGGAGGCCCATGGCATCGTGGTGACGGATGTAGCCTTTCTGCCTGAGAAGGGTCGTGGTCCAGAGCTCCTTGGGTCCCACGAAACTGCCCTGTTCTCTGTGGCTGTGGATAGTCGTTGCCAGCTGCACCTGTTGCCCTCACGGCGTGAGTCATTGGGGTGGGGGTACCACCCAGCCTTTCACTATAGCAAAAATTTGCCCCCTAGAGAATGGGCTGTTTGTAGCCATCTGCCCCTCCTTGAATGGAATCGGTTGAGGGTTCTAGTCTTCAGGTTGTGAAGTCCCTTTGCCCCCTGACAACTTCCCTTGCCCTCCCCTGCAGGGAGTGTTCCTGTGTGGCTGCTGCTGCTGCTATGTGTCGGACTTATTATTATGACCATCCTGCTGCTTCAGAGTGCCTTTCCAGGATTCCTTTAGCCTCCCTGCTCCCAGGGAATCAGGGGCCTGGACACTGCCACCTTCTGGACCAGAGTGGAGGCCTGGACCCATTGCTCACTCCACCTCCAAGTGGGTTCACAGCTGAGATGGCCGCCGATGAGACTTGATGGGTACTGCCTGCCCTTCCCAGTTAAAGCGTGGTTGTGGCCCTGTGCAACTCTTGAGTCCTGGGAACCCTGCATTCATCATCTGTGGATCCACCCAGGAGAGTGGTGTCTGCAGCCCAGGTCACACCACCTGCCTCCTTTCCTGTGTCTACCAGAGGCTCCAGAGTTGAGCTTGTTCTTTCTCTAGAAGTATGTGAAGGTGCCCCAGAATCTGGAGGCACTGCTATCCCTTCCTGCAGAAACAATCTGTTTCTCCTCCCCTCACATCCTGTGGCCAGTTGCTCTTCCCATGAGCCCCTGGCATTTGCTGGCCTGGGACTTGTTGTTGGGATGGAAGAGGCAAAAGGAAGACCCAGGCAGTAATCTGTGGGTTCAGCTGGGTAGCTCTAAGCCAGCCAGGCTAAATATGCAGCAAGTTCCTGGATGGCCTACCCTAGCCTTGAGAAAAGGGAAAATGAACCTCAGTCTATTTAGCAGGAAAAGTTATATTTAATAAACAAGGGAAGACTGAACCGAGACCCCAATGATGCTCTTGTCAGCTTTTGCCTCCCTCAGAAGGCGAGAGAGCCCTGAGGCTGAGCAGCTCTGCTGGGTGCTGAAAGATGGCTTTGGCGTACTGATGGAAGAGGCGGCTCATGTAGCAGTGCTGCCAGGGGAGCAGTCCTTCCAGGAAGCCGATGTGGCCACCCTGGGCTGTGACGAGCAGTGCGACATGGGGAGACTGTTGGGCAGCCTGTAGGGGAAGGGCTGGGGGAGGGGTTGGCGAGGAGGTCAGGAGAGCCCAGGGTCTCCACTTGTACCTCATGGCCCATTATCGTTGGGGCCTAAAGCATCCAGATCAGGGTGCTCACCATGGACTGGGGAGAAGGGGTCATCGGCTGCATTGAGGGAGAGCACAGGGGTCTGGATGGCATCTACCTTGGTTCTTGGGCTTGCTGCCTGATAGTAGGTAACACAGTCTTGATATCCAAAGGCCACAGCTGTGTAGCGCTCATCAAACTGGCGGATTGTGTGGGCCTGCAGGTGGTGGAGGGCAGGATAGGCTAGGATGAAGATAGGGAATGGGAAGATACTGGAAGAACAATTTTGGGTGGAGGGGAGATGGTTGAAAGACTATACCTGTAGCACAAAGTCTACATTCACCACCTTTTCCATCACCTTTCTATTTCTGCAAAAGAGCACATAGAGGTTTGACTCTACTCCTGGATCTGACCCAGAGCCCCCAGCCTGTTTAATCTCATGAGTGAAAAAGCCCAGATAAAGAACTGACCCAAGCACTGGGAGAACCTGGCATGTCCGCCATCCTACCTTATCTGCCATCTACCCTGTCTGCTGCCCCCTCCCACTTGCCAAGACCCTACCGGTCCACAATTTGGCAGAGCCCAGCAGTAAGGCGCTGATTAAAGAGCAGTGAGTTGAGTGGGGTCTCCAGGGAACGGGTGGTCTCAAAGGTATCCCAGCATGCAGATAGAGTCAGTGCTGCCACCAACCCTGCAGCTTGTCCCATTCGTGCCAGGTGGTTCAGCACCAATATCCTGCAGGATCAGACCAGTGGCCATGAAAGAAGGGTTTGCATTAGTAAGTTGGGACAGGATACAGGGAGAGGACATGGAGGAGGAAAGAAACAAAGGGAGACTGGGCATTTGCGTTAAGCCCAGGTAGACTTTACCCTCCAAGAGAGATGCCCACAGCCAGCAATGGAGCTTCGGAGTAGCGGTGCTTTATGTGCTTCACAACTGTCTCCAGATCTTCAGTATTGCTGGCACAAAAGGCCCTGTGGGTCTGAGGCAAACCAGATCATTGGGTAGGGAGGGAGGCCCTGGCCAGAAGGCAGAAAAACGGAAGGGAAATGGGAGAAAAGTAGGTAAGTGAGCCCCAGTGCCAAGGATCTCTCAAAGGAGTGGGTTGAAGGACTACTAGGAATGAGGGTACTCACCAAGAGATCTTCCCCACGGCAGCCCCGGTTATTTAATACAACAGCCCTGTGGCACACACAGGTACATCTTAGCTAGACTGTCCCTAGAAAGCCTGCTGAAAGCCTTCAGAAAGACCCCAGTCAAAAGGTGCCTTTCATATAGCACTGTCTGAATTGACCTCCCTATTACCACTTCTCAGATACCACCCAACAACTCTGGGCTGTGCCCATCCTTACCTATAACCATCCCTCAAAGCTTGGTCAACTAGGTGTAATATATATGTTTCCTGGCTATTGCCTGTGAGACCAGGAAGCAGTAATACAATGGGCTGGGTGGCAGGATCAGGGTATTGACTGCTGTCATGCTGGCCAGCCCAGTCTAGCAGGAGCCGTCCTCCATCTGGGGTTTGGAGGACTTCACTGCGGTTTTGGAGAAAAGGGCACACAAAGATACCATTAGGAACTCCATGTACTTCAAAAGGTTTACAGCCCCCCACCACAACTCCCATAACTGGCCATCAGCATCACTTGAGGGCATGTGTTATGCAAACAAGACTAACAAGGTATGATGGGGAAATAAAAGATTGATTACCTCATGTTTGTGCAATTAAATAGCCCTCAATCTAGCCAGTCTTTATTACCTTCAACACACTGAGGTATAGGGCAAAGGTTACCTTCATTTTAAAAGGTAGACAGGATTCCCCTACACTTGGCAGCTTTGCATTCACATTCACCCCTTTCTGTTCCTTCTTACCTCCAGTAAGGGACTAGAGGCCGAGGCTGCAGTAAGACTCGGAAGATGGTTTGTAGCCGCCCCTCAAAACACCACAGCGTAGGGTAGAAAGTCTCCACAGTGATTGGACAGTGTTGCTCCAGGAAGGCCAGAAACCGGGACCCAGTCACCAGTTGAGGCCTCTGTAATCACACAACACAATCACTCCTAATTTTTGCACCAAGTCAGTGAGGCACCCAATAGCAGAGTGACCTCTCTCCAGAGGCCAGCCTGAAGGGCACTGCTTTAGTACAGGGAAATCTGACATGGCCTCAGTCTGGAATGGCCAAGTCACCTCTGTTAATATAGTCTGCTCTAGCCCAGAGAACTCCAGGAGTGTCACTTCTCCAGAACTGACCCTGAACTGACTCATATCTAGGGCTGGGTGCTGCTGCAGCCGACTGGGTGCTGAGGCCCCCTCTCAACCTATCCATGCCCAAGCCCAGGGGTCGGCAAACTTGAGATGAGAGCCAATCCTGTCCGTCACAACAATTTAAAAATTATTCGAGAGCCATAAAACAAACGAAATCACCATTATGTGAATAATATCCTTCAAAAATTTTATAAATGAAACTATGATAGTTTTTTCATTTTCAATTTTACTTCAGAGCCACATATACGTCCTCAAAGAGCCGCATGTGGCTCGCGAGCCGCAGTTTGCCGACCCCTGCCCAAGCCCATTTTGGAGAGAGCAGGTAATATAAGATTAATTGCCCAGCTGATACCTTGCAGGAAGGGTTGGGATCCAGGACAGAGGCAGAAGAAAGGCAGCAGCATTCAACCTGCTACTTTTGCCTTGCAGTTGAAGTTGAATTATCCACACTATCATCTTTCCAAAACTAACTCTGGCCGTGCTGGCTCCTCCTGATTTTAGCACCCCACTGTTGCATGTTCCTATGCCCTACTGTGTGTACTCACTGCTGAAAGGTTTCTTCCTACCACAAGCACCTCATTTTCTTACTTGTGGGACCCCTGCTGTTAGACCATACTCTGAAGGAGGAAAAATCTTGATGTGAATAGATTTTCTCTTCCTTCATGCCAGCCAGGGAGAAGGTAACAGGGATGGGCTAACAGAGGCAGATGAAATCAGAGGGCACTCAGCCTTCCTTACAACCCCTCTGCCTGATTCTTCAGGATAGACATCAAGTGAATGAGAGGGCCTGGCCACATAGAAGTCTTATGAAGGAGTATGCCATACAAAGCCAAAAGGCCTCAGACTCAAGGAAAAGAAACTGCATTTCTGTGACAGGCCCTAAGGAACCTGAGGATCAGATTTCCTGTCTTCTGCAGTCTCAGTACTCAAAAGGGACTAGGTTGCTAGTGTGACTGTTGTGAGATGTGACTCACCCTGGTTCTTAAGCCCTGGAATAATAACACCTGTCATTCATTGTGTGCTACATGCAGGCACCAGGCTAAGCTCAACCTTATGAGATAGGATATTTTAAGTGAAGAAACGATGACTCAGAGGTTGTTTCCCAAAGTCACATAGCAAGCAAGAGGCAAACCGGAATTAATAATTGTATTACCATTAATACTAGTAGTAACATTTGTTGCGTGCTCATTATGTTCCAAGCATTGTGCTAAGCATTTTACGTGGTTATATCCTGTGATCTTCACAAACAGCTCTTTGAAATAGGTGTTATCCCTCTGTGGAAACAGGTTTGAATGTTGAGTAGCTTGTCAAAGGTCACAAAGTTTGCCAAAGCTAGTGGTGGAGCTGGGATTCAAACCCAGGTCTGTCTGAGTCTAGAGCTTATGCTCTTAGTCACTGTACTATATTACCTCCTAATTGCCAAGATTTTGAGTTATCAATTTATTAAATCCTTGGTCAAAAAGCTCAGTAGTGTAGGTCACAGTGCTAACATATTAGGTCACAGGTCTGAGTTATGTGGGTTAGTTTCATTTTAACTTTAGCAAAGTACTTCTTGATTCATTCCTGAGAATTAAATTGTAAGATGCCATTGGTCACTGTGACCGAATCAATACCAGTCCATTACCATGCTGAACAATCCAAACTCCATGTCCTCAGGGCCTCCAGAATGGCACTTTTCCTAAAGTTTTACGAGTATGGATGAGTATGTGAAAGACAAGGAAGGGTTTTGGAGTATGAAGTGGCTGGCAGAGGTCTCTAACTTCTGTGTGGCTGATTGCAAGCAAAGGAAAATGTTTAGGTAAGGACAGCTCTGGTCTGAGATGAATGACTTTCTGAATCAGACATATAAGGTAAGATTTATAAGGTATTGTGAGGTTTGGATTTTTAAAATTGTTAAGGCAGACTTATTTTTTAAAAAATACATGGGACTGTAGAACGCTGGGGAAATACAGAAAAGTCTACGTAAAATTAAAATTCCCTATTGATCTTTTAAAAGGGCTTGAATCAATAGGTTTCTTGTTAGACTCAGCTGCCTAGAACTGTGTTTAATGAAGAATAAAAGATTTAGATTTTTCTAGATATGTATTTTATCTAAATTTCAATGAGGATAAAATCTCCAAGTTCGTTAAAGTCAGCTTCTTCAGACTTTCTCACTGCACTATCCATGGAGAGCCTAGAACTTAAAACAAGGGCAGTTGAGCAAGGGCAATTAGGGTTATCCATTAATCCTGAGCCAGGGGGGGAAACTCCACCAGGCCTTGAGAAGCAAGACCCTACTAAGCTAATGCAGTGGTGCTGAGAGTGAGCCACAAACCCACAGGCATCCGGTTCCTTCATTCAGGACAACTAATGAGAAACTCAGCTAGGCTGCCTAAAAAGAAAAGGAAAGCATTGTGTGCTTATCTCCCTGACACCTCAGGATGCCTTCCACCCCGCCTTTCCCCGAATGTTTGTCCACATCATAGGGAGCAGCACCCCTCCGATGCGGGAAAGGCCCAGCTGGCATGGGGAGCGCGCGAGATGCAGAGAATCTAGGCAGGCGAAGAACCGACTCTCCATTAGGTGATAATAGCAGAGCGGGGCTGGTGTGGTGGGATTGGGGCATCAAATTTCACCTGTAATGGGAAGCCCAACCAAGCCAGCTCCCACAAAGGGCACGAGCCCCGCGGCTGGAAGCTGCCGCCTAAACCCGAGTATCCTCCACCCATTGGCCAGAGCTCTGGACCCGCACCCACCTGGGGCACACATGCCCAGTAGTAGCCCAAGTAGAGGGCAGCGCCAAGACCCAAAAGCAGAAGGAAGAGCTCTGTCCAGGTGCCATTCTGGGGGTTCAGGAAGGAGCTCAGCATACTTTATTGCTGGGTTCCGACTCCCAAGCTCTTGAGGTTCCAGCGCCTTGACTTTGACTAGTCCGCCCGCCGGGGCGCGTCCGACCCCACCCGTTACAAGTCATTGGACGGCCTGTGCAGGTCCCGCCCCCACGGACCGGTGGTTGGGGGACCCGGGCCCAGTCCACCGCCTGTGATTCTCGCGGCGGGCGCGGCGAAGGGCAGTGCTAGGACCGCGCGGGTTGTGGGCGGGCTGCGGGCGCGGGCGGGCTGCGTCGGGCACCCTGCGCGGAGCTGACCTCAGTGACCTGCAAATGGCTTCCCAGCCCGCGTCCCGGATCTCGCGCCTCCTGCTTCCGCTTCGCGATCATAAGCAGAACAGCCCTTTGCAAGGACTAACGACCTCCCCCATAGCCGCCATCTTGGTGAGGGGCACCTCCTGCTGCTTCCTCATACTCTGCGCTGGCGTCAGCGAGTGAGGCAGGTTAGGGTACCCCAGCCACTCAGTCCGTCACACACAGGACACAGCCACGCCAGTGGCTTTTGTCACAGAGTACAGCCATTCACAGTAATTGGATATGGACAATTCATGTGGTGACTGGCACCCTGAAGTTCCACAGTGTTCAGCCATTCATAGTGGTCCTCACACACTGGACACACCATTCACACTGTTACACCCCACACTGTCACATAGTTAGGTTTCAGCTACTGAGTGGGTGGCATTACAACACAGAGTCAATTACACATAGGTTAAAGCCACTCATGCAGTGTTACTCTGTAGTATGGAATCCCTGTCAAGTAAGTACAACAAATATTTACTCCTTACACACTGTACTAAGCACCTGGGATACCCCAGGGATGCTCTCCCTGTCTTCCAGTGGGATGTAGTAACAACTCTACTAAAGCAGTGGCTCTCAACCTTGACTGAAGATTAGAATCATCTGGGAGTTTTCAAAACTACCAGTGCCCAGGCCCCACCCTTGATACAGTTGGTCTGGAGTGAAGCCTACATATCAATATAACTGAAAAGCACTCTGAAGATTCAACTGTGTAGTCAGGGTTGAACCCCTGCAGTAGAGCATGGCATAGATAAGGGAAGGTCTAGCTGCAGTGGGAGCATTGAGGAGGGTTCCCAAACTCCATGGGATCAGCAAAAGTGTGCCCAGATGTTAAATAACAGTACATTTAAGGTGGAACAAACAAAATGAGTAGGAGTTTCCCAGGCAATGGGGAAGCAGGAAAAGAGTAGTTCCAGGAGAGGGAACAGCCTAAGGAAAAGCCTGGATGCGAGCGACTTCTTAAAGGAACCAAAAGAAATTTGGTGTGGCTGGAGCACATGAGATGGCCAAGAACCGAGTTTTGAGCAGCAACATAAAGGACGTTAAGAGTTTATCCTGAAAGCCATCAGAGAGTTTTATAAAGTGATGGGCTACATGATCAGAGTTGTTTTGGAAGGATTATTCAGGTTTCTTGGAGAACGGATTGGAGGAAGATGAAGCAGAGAGACCAATTAGGAGGCTGTCCACAGAACTTTGGCAAGGATGATGGCTGCCTGGACTCGGGGAGGAGTGAAGATCGTCAAGATAGGAGGCTGAATTGATAGGACTTGGTAGTAGGTTGGAGATGGGGGGAGAAGGAGGGATCATGGATGACCCCCAGGTTTCTGACTGCTTTGATTCAGAGATGCGTGGTGGTGCCTGTCCCTAGGACAGGAAAACTGGGGGAAGGGAAGGTTTGAGGAGGAAGATGATGCAACCTCGGACATGTAGAGGTTGGGGTGCTGGTAGATGTTCTAATTGTGTTTTCTTAGACTCTGTCTATTTGGCATCCATTAATCATAAAGCCAAACTAATAGCCAAAGTTGTTTACATCTCCTCTGCTACCCAGAGCCCATACTCTGAGCCACCTTCTTTATCTATCTCTCACACACCAAGCCAACGATTCCTCTGTCCTAAATCAACATAGGGCCAGGTACCAGATAACTAGGGATAACCCCTGTTCCTCAGAGTCTGCTGGAAATATTCAAACTAGCCAATCCAAAGCTGTTTACCTTGCCCTCCCTGCCTTACCTTTCCCACTTAATAAAGGCTGTGGCCGAAGCCTTCCCCTTGCATCTTTCTGTCTTCTGACGTACACTGGCGACGCTTCCCCCCTGTGCTTCTGTGTGGTGAGCTGTCCCTCTCGTGTCCAGGGGAACTGTAACGTTAAACTTTTCTTCAGTGGCATTAACTCTCCATGTTGTCACTCAGTCGCCTTTATAAATTAAGATCCGGGTACAAATCAGTAGGATGTTCAATTTCTGAAGTGGTCCGGGGCTTAAAGGTTGGAATTTAAGATTTGGTAGTCATCAGCATTTAGATGATGTATTAGTTTGCAGGGTTGCCATAAGAAAGTACCACGAATTGGATCTTAAACAATAGAACTTTATTGTCTTACAATTCTGGAGACTAGGAGCCTAAGTTCAAGGTATCAGCACGGTTGGTTCCTTCTGAGAGCTGTGAGGAAGAATGCATTCCACATCTCTCCTCTAGTTTCTGGTGCTTTGCTGGCAATCTTTAGTATTCCTTGGCGTGTAGAAGCTTCACCCCAATCTCTGCCTGCATCTTCACATGCTACTCTCTGTGTGCGTGTGTGTGAGTGTGTGTGTGTGTGTGTCCACATTTTTATATGGGTACCAGTCATATTAGATTAGGGACCCACCGTACTCCAGTATGACCTCTTCACTAATCATATCTGCAACAATACTATTTCCAAACAAGGTCACATTCTGAGGTATTAGGGCTTAGAACTTCAACATATGAATTTTTTGTTTTAAATTGGAGAATTGGGGGAGGGGAACAGTGTTGGGAAATCAGGGAAGGGGAACAGACAAGTTGCTGTCCTTTTGTTCTTCAGTCTAGTTGTGGAGGACGTCGCTTCACTGGTCCGTATTGGTATTATCATTGTGCTCTTCCCAGGTGAGGCAGATCAGTCGCCGGCCACTGGACCGCCACTCATGGTGGCTCTTGGCAGCTCACGCCAGCTTCTGGCTGCTCACGGTAGCTTATGGTAGCCCACTGCAGCTCCACTGCAGACTACACTGTCACCGGCCACCTCCGGCAGCCCAGCTCCAGGTCGTGCTGTTGTTCACCATCTTAGCTGTAGAGGGCGCAGCGTCACTTGCCCTCGTGGGATCTGAACCGGGGCCCTGCTGCTCAGAGCTGGCGTCCCAAGCCAACTCTTAACCAACGCGCCACTCGGCCGGCCCCAATATATGAAATTTTGAGGGAGGCAGCTCAACCCATAACACAGAGTGATGGGAGTTACATAAACAGATGAACGCACAAGCAGATGGAGAGTGAGGAGAGAGCCCTGAGGAACTCCAGTACATGAAGAAAACTAAGAAGAAGCAGCTATAGAAAGAGAATGGTGTTGCCGAAACCAGTGGATACCGTGGTCCAAGGAGGTAGTGTCCATCAGTGTCTGCCACAAGGAGGACAGAATGACCTTGATGAGAGTGGGTTTATTGTGATAGATGTTGATGGAAAGGAGCTGATGGAGAGAAAGAAGATGAAGATTCCAGAGAGATAAGTCATTTATTCAAAGAACTAAGTACTAAGTCTTTGGGCCAGGGGTGAGGATGTAGTCCAGAGCCTCAGTGGAGGAACTAGCCACTGTGACAAAATTAGGTGACACTCTATTTTGACCACAAAGCTACAGCCACGCACTGCAACACTTTGTGCTGGCAAATAACTGCCACCATCACCTTTAAGATAACTTTACCCAGGCAACCCCCCCCCCTCCACCCACCACCACCACTGTTGCTGCCATGTCTCATATGAGGCCACTTCTCAGGGATGCACACAGTTAACAGCCACACAATGATAGTGTCATTGGAAACCAGCAGTCACAGCTGTCCCTTGAGCATCAAACAATTCAGGAAGAGTTCACCCAGATACTCTAACACACATACCATTAACATCCTGTACCATCACATATCAGACAATCAGTCACACATTGGCCATACTTTATCAAGCCCACACTGTCATACTGGATATGCAGTCACACAAAATACCCCTTACTGTGTCACAGGTTCCTCAAACACACAGCCACATACATCAGTCACAATCACACACACTAACAGTATGTTGCAGTTTATCCTGTAACACACATCTGGGTGCTTGCACACACAGCATCTCACACACACACACACACACACACAGCATCTCACACACACACACACACACACACACACACACACACACACACACACAAACGCCGGGAGGAAGCCTTGTGAAGGTTGCGGAGGGCCCGGTCAGGCGGTCAGGGCGGGGCGGCAACCCTGCCGTCGTGCTGGCGCTCCGGACTCTGCCCGTGCCAGGGCGGCGGCTGCAGCCAGGAGGGCGACGTGGAGCGGCCACGTGGAGCTGCCCGGGGGAGGGCCCGGCGGCGGAGAGCGAGGCGCCAGCGGCGCACAGCCTAGAGCCCAGCCGAAGCTGGCCCCCAGCTGAGCCTCGCTGCGCCGCCGCAGGTGGGTCCGAGCCCCGCCCCGGGCGGGCGGGCTGGGAGCGGCTGGGGACCCCCACCAAGCCAGCTGGGAACGAGCCGCGCGGTGGAGCGGGGCCGCGGGGCGGAGGCGGCCTCCTGGCCTCTGGGTCTGGATGCTGAAGGCGCAGTCCCTCTGCATCCCCTGCAGCTGCAACTGTAACGCGTCCGCAGCGGTGTCCCTCGCCTCCAGGTACCTCTCCGCAGGCGGTCACCCCTGAGTGCAGGTAAAGGAAGGGGTGGAAGGCGAATCTTGAGCTTCCTCTGTGTGATGATGAGGTTTCACAATTATCCAAGTGCCTCATTTATCACTCTGACTGCCCTAGGGAGAGGGAGGCTGGCAGGAGTTTCATTCTCATTTGACAGATGAAGAAAAGAAGGACTGGGTAGGGGCCAAGGTTATCGCCCAGCTGGAAGGGGCAGGGTGGAGCGAGATCTCAGGTGTGGGACCCCTTTGGCTGTATAGCCACTGCCTCTTCTCTTGGGAGGGGTGTGCTGGGAGGCACAGGGGACACCAGAGGGATAAGTTACGGGAGAGAATTCAGTTCCAAATAACTTCCTGACAGAATCAGCCAGAAAGGAATGGATACCCTGTGAGGTGCTAGGCTCCTGTCCTGGAAAGCGAGGCAGAGGCTGAATGGCCATTGACAGGGATGCTGTGGAAGGCATTTTTTGCACGGGAAGTTATGCAAGATAAAAGGCCCCTGCCACATCCTAGAGGCTCTGAAATACTCAGGGAGCAAATAGTCTGCTCACTTTCAGCCATTTAACCTACATTATCCCATCGCATCCTCCCCAAGCCCCTTCCAGATAGGTAGTGCTAGCCTTCATTTACAGTGAAGGTCCCAGGGCCCAGAGACCACACTGTTAGCACTGTGAGAGGCAGG